TATTCCTTTCCAATTATTATCATATGTTGAATTGTTAAACAGTGTTATGGAATTGACTATTTCATTTGACTTCAATACTTTAATATATGTTTCAGCAGCACTACGAGTCCATCTATATGGTGTCTTGAGTTTATGTAGATGAATTGGCTTTTTATGAATTTCCCTTGATTTGCTGTTTTCCCCTTTAATGAGAAGATTGATCTGGCTGTGAACAGACAGGGGTGACTGGGCTTTGACGGTAAATGCACTGAAATGGGAAGGGCTTATATTTGATATCGCATAATCTACAACACTGTTCCCGAGATCTGAGCTATAGGTAAATTGTCCGCAGGAATCTCTTTTGATTCTACCATTGAGCATATAAAGACCTAAAGTTTGACAAAGGTGGGCTAGCTCTCTCCCGTGCCTATTGACTCCAGTATCCTGGTTATTTCTTCTAGGTAGAGTACTGAAGAGACCTTGGGGTATATGTGTGAACAGATGTTTATCTCCTGAATTATCAATATAGTCATCGGTCTCATCCAGGACGGAGACGAGTCTGCTTACAGACAAGAGGTTGAGCAGCTGGCTGTCTGGTGCAGTCACAACAACCTGGAGCTGAACATGCTCAAAACTGTGGAGATGATCGTGGACTTCAGGATAAACCCCCCTGCACTCTCCCCACTCACCATCATGGACAGCACTGTGGCTGCAGTGGAGTCATTCAGGTTCCTGGGCACCACCATCTCTCAGGACCTGAAATGGGACATTCACATCGACTCCATTGTGGAAAAGGCTCAGCAGAGGTTATACTTCCTTCGTCAGCTGAAAGAATTCAACCTGCCACAGGCACAGATGACACAGTTTTACTCAGCTATTATTGAGTCAGTTCTCTGCTCCTCTATAACTCTCTGGTTTGGATCAGCCAGCAAATCAATTATTAATTATTGCCTCTTTCTCAAGTATTATGTAAATACATGTGCATATCTCTTTATCTATACAGTTCTATATAGAGTAAAAATGCACAAATCTGTACATAAATCTACTGTTCCTGATTCATACACATTACTTATTGTTAAGTTTTACTATTTAAATGTTTTTTGTGTTCTCATGTCAGATGTGTATGTATGTATGTATGCATGCATGTATGTACCAGGAGCACCTTAAAAAAAACACAACAAATTCCTCATGTGTTTGCACACACCTGGCGAATAAAGCTAATTCTGATTCTGAGGAACCAGAAAGCCGGAGAATAAAACTCGAGGAACCAGAACCCCGGAGAATAAACACGAGGAACCAGAACCCCGGAGAACAAAACACGAGGAGCACGGAGGTTGGTGTTTATTCTTCATTCATATTTAGTGACTGTTTGTGGTTCATAGGCTTACAAAGCTTTAATCCTTTGAGGTCTGATGGGGTTTTGGGGCCCTGGAGAAGTTTTGACATGTCCTGACATTTGTGCTTTTTTTCAGTATCTTAAATATACATACATTAATGACTAAAGTCTGATTACACTGTACACTGGGCTACAATAATACATAAGCAGCATGAATATAGCCTACATGTTTGTGTTATTGAGAAAATAATGTTTATACATGGTTAGTGAAAAATAAAATTTTTCTCAAATTAAATAGTCACTAAAATAAGGCCATAAAACACATACATAACATTTGTTCACAAGACTTTTGAGAACTGAATGTTGATAGACTAGAGTTTTAAAACCCATTAGCATCAAGTAATGTCTGGTACCAAAACTGTATTAATAGTCTTCTATGAGCCTAGAAGTTGACTGAGCAAAGCTTATTGAAAAATCTTAGCTGCATTTGTTTCAATGCTCAGACTTCATCTGACCAGCACAAATCCAACAAGTAGTGTTTTACCAAACACTATAACATCCCATAAACCTTGAGTTTCCATTAACATTCCCTCTTATCTCTTTTTGTCTCATTCAGACAAAAGAGTTAATTAAACCTCACAATCATAAGATTAAGCAATGAAAATGCATAAACAAGGAAAATAAGAAATACAAAATATATAAAAACATCATAAAAAATAAATGAATAATCAAATTATATAAATGGTAAATGATAAAAAAAAATTATCAAACAATAAATTACATAAATGGCTAATGATTCTAAATGATTATACGAATAACTGATTATAAATTAATAAAAAAATAAAATAAAAAGATAATTCAAATGTATGGTTGCTCTCTTGAAGCAACACACAGATCCTCAGATCCCTCGTGTTGTTGATCAAACATATTTAATAGCTCTCCCTATAGAAACATTAGATTTGTGCCTATAATATTTTAAAAGTAATAATTTATAACTGATGAAGGTCAGTGGACCAAAACTTTGCTTGTGCTTATAACAATAAATTGCAATATTTATCAAGTACTGATAGTGTGCGGGATTGCATCTTTTTATATTTTGGATTCGACAGTGTTGTTGGACTATTTTTCTCATGCACCTATCGTTTTTCTCAGGTGTGCTGAGTTTGTGTTGATTGAAAACGAATAATTTGAAAAGCAGTGTACCTCATTCATGGAAAGTTTCAGGGACGTATAATTTATAAAATTACATCAAAATGATCAAAAGTTTGTAATACAATTGTCTACTTTCCGCTGTTATGTCAGGGTTCATTGTTTAACAAGTTAATGAAGATTTACTGTTTTTACTTTTGTTGCAGAGTTGATTGAAGATAATGACGAGAAAGAAGAATTGAGGGAAGTTGAGGAGAAAAATCATGTCAAAAGTGGAGAAAAACCCAAACAGAAAGATTTAAATAAAAAAAGAGCCAAGAAATATTTCACCTGCACTCAGTGTGGAAAGAGTTTCACATACAAACGTAATCTTGATCTTCACATGAGAGTTCACACTGGAGAGAAACCATACACTTGTGATAAGTGCGGGAAGAGCTTCACTCAATCAGCAAATCTTAAGACGCACATGAATATTCACACTGGAGAGAAGCGGCACACATGTGATCAATGCGGCAAAACATTTTTGTGGGCTTCGGACCTGAAGAAACACCTGAAAGTTCATACAAAGGAGAAGCCACATTCTTGTTAGTTGTGTGGAAAGAGTTTTTCATGTCTACAAAATTTGAAAATACACACTGCTGTGAGAGAGTACATGTGCTTTGAGTGTGAAAAGACTTACTTCAGCTGAACGTTTGAAACTGCACCAGAGGATTCACTCTGGAGAGAAACCGTACAAGTGTTCACACTGTGACAAGAGATTCAGATGGTCAGAACACCTAAAAATACATGAGAGGATTCACACTGGAGAGAAGCGGCACACATGTGATCAATGCGGCAAAACATTTTTGTGGGCTTCGGACCTGAAGAAACACCTGAAAGTTCATACAAAGGAGAAGCCACATTCTTGTTAGTTGTGTGGAAAGAGTTTTTCATGTCTACAAAATTTGAAAATACACACTGCTGTGAGAGAGTACATGTGCTTTGAGTGTGAAAAGACTTACTTCAGCTGAACGTTTGAAACTGCACCAGAGGATTCACTCTGGAGAGAAACCGTACAAGTGTTCACACTGTGACAAGAGATTCAGATGGTCAGAACACCTAAAAATACATGAGAGGATTCACACTGGAGTAACATTTTATATGTGACCCTGGACCACAAAACCAGTCATAAAGGTCAATTAAAAAAAAAAATTGAGATGTATCCATCATCTTAAAGCTGAATAAATGAGCTTTCCACTAATATATGGAAAATGGATATTGTTACGATAGGATAATATTTGGCCAAGATACAGCTATTTGTGAATCTGGAATCTTATGGTAAAAAAACAGGAGGATCTTATTTCATGTAACCCGGATTAGATCACATTTTTTTAAGCAGAATTAACACGTAAAATCTGTCCCAACCACTGCTACTTTATTGCAAGAGTACCCTATTGGTCCAGGGACAATAATTTAAAATAATAAGAATTTAAAAATGTATTTGAAAATAATATAATAATGTTGTGTTGTCTATAATACTATAGACACAGCCAGATGTACTCATTGAAAGATTTATTAGTGATGAAATAATTACTTTATAATTGTATTGGAGTCTTGCACACATGCTATACAGTTCATCTGAGTCGTGCATTAATTTTAGCGGTGACAGCTATTATGGGAGTGGCTTGATGGAGCCCTTAGACCAGGGGGGGGGAACTCCCGTCCTGGGGAGGCGGAGGCCGTCAGGGGCGGCGCCTAAAGGGACAATAATTTAAAATAATAAGAATTTAAAAATGTATTTGAAAATAATATAATAATGTTGTGTTGTCTATAATACTATAGACACAGCCAGATGTACTCATTGAAAGATTTATTAGTGATGAAATAATTACTTTATAATTGTATTGGAGTCTTGCACACATGCTATACAGTTCATCTGAGTCGTGCATTAATTTTAGCGGTGACAGCTATTATGGGAGTGGCTTGATGGAGCCCTTAGACCAGGGGTGGCGAACTCCAGTCCTGGAGAGCCGCAGCCCTGCAGAGTTCAGCTCTAACCCTAATTAAAACTCACCTGCCTGTAGCTTCCTAGTAACCGTTCAGACTTTGATTAGCTTGTTCAGGTGTGTTTGATTGGGGTTGAAGCAAAACTCTGCAGGGCTGCGGCTCTCCAGGACCGACGTTCGCCACCCCTGCCTTAGACCCTTAAGAAACTTCAATTAATGCTGTCACCTAAGAAATCTGCTTCAAAGAGACAATTAAAGGAATTAATAATTACAACATTGAAATAAAAATGTAAAGCCTGTACAAATACTAGAAATCATAAATATAAATAATTTGGAATCAATAATAATCCTATTTCCAATCTCCAGTCTCTAGCACCTTGTCTCCTTCTCTAAGTGTCATGTGTTCGCTTTTGTGAGAAAAGTAAGGAAAGTGTTTATCTAAACATTAGTGACTGTAAATGTGTGTGTGGCATCTTAGCTGTCTGATCCTCCTCCTGCTGCATCTGCCTTATATACCTGCTCATTTATCACTCAATCCATTCTGCTGTGTTCAGTAAAGCTTGTTTAAACTTTACCCCCCGTCTCTCTGGTCTGTGTACCCCTGACAGCTTTTGTCATACTCAGAATTACTGTAAAAAAAAAAAATAGCCTGTGATTTTCTTAAACAACTAATTATTTTACTTGAAGAAAAAAAAATCATATTCATGTAAAGATATGGGCTAAAACTAAGCCAGATTGGGAACATTTTATAAAAGACATTAAATATTATGGTACTACTCCGCACAACATTACAAACAGAAATGCTAAAAAGACATAAAGATATGTCACTTTAATTTGGTTAATTAAAGGTTACTTTTTTTTTTTTTATCCCTGGCATATATATAATTCGTTTTTCTTCTATGCACATGCACTTTTCCCCCCATAACTGTTGTGAGAACAGTTCATCATCATCATTAACACACACCATTTCTCAATACTAAATACTACTATACTACACTGAAAAAAATAACTAGTAAGATTTACTTTAAAACAATTTGGTAACAAATTGCACGAACACATTTGAAGTAAATGTTACTGCTCTAATATCAAGTACAACTTACTCACTATTATTAAGTAAAATCTACTTACTAAACTTAACATTCATGAAGAAATTAAATCTAATTGCACCCTAATTAAGTAAATATTACGTAATTATATTTAATTTAAAAGTGTTTATTTAAAGTAATTAAGTAAAGTTTATTCATTATTTTATAGACATGAACCTTGCATATATAAAAATATTAAGTAAATCCTACTATTATTTACTGAAGTAAATAAGTAGATTTTATTATATGTTTTGATCGAGATGTCCCATTTACTTAGTTTTATGAATATATATTTCTCTCTATGATTATGTAAACATTGCTAATTTCTTTTTGATTAATATAACCACATAAACTGTATTCATTTTGTCTGGACACAAGTTTTTAAAGGTGCAGTAAAGCCTCATAGAAAAGTGTCATTAATCAACAAAACATGTATAACTTCACTGGTGATATTTGGTCTATTGAAAATAGAAAAACATAAAGTATGACTGAATGCTACTTCAAGTGTCTGCTGTTCTGTAATACAATCCAATCTCCATTACCAACATGAACTGCATTAGCTGCACCATACAGTTTTGACCCCAGGAGGTATCAAATATAGAAAAAAAAAAATACCTAAACAGAACAAGATGAGGTTTTAACCTGACAGAGCTAGGTAGTATTGATAACCAAAACTGCATCTAACATGAAAACCATCAGTCTGTCTTCCTCCCCAAACCTCAAGTGTCCACTGTATTGGCTCGTCGTCAGAGTTAGGCCACCCTGTCGCTGTGTTCTGGGTTCAGAGGGTTTTAACTCAGGAACACACTGCTGGGATGTTGAGGTTAAAGAGACGTCAGGCTGGAGTAACTACAGCATCAAACCAGAGGAAGACACACACTTTATTTAACACTGATGTCTGGAGTGTGTGGTATCAGCCGGAGGAACTGACTGAATGGTCTGGTTTTCTTGTTAAGCAGGATCTTAATCGAGTGAGAGTGAATCTGGACTATGACAGAGGAAACGGTGTCGTTCTCTGATCCTGTAACTAACACACATCTACATGCATTCACAACCTCCTTCACTCACACACTCTTTCCATTCTCCTGGTGTTTTCCTTGTGACTCTCTGAGGATTTTACCGCTCGGTAGTCCGTAAAGTTTACACCTGTAGGTCTGGATGGAGCTGCTTTCACTGACGGTAATAGTCTAATTTGACTGATCACTGGAGACTCACTGATATAAAATCCTTTCTGTGCAGATAAAGACATTGAATCACATCATCCACAAAGCTGCTATGAAATAATGTGTATCACACTACAGCACTATATATAAAAACAATAGGCTTAGTAAGAGCATTGCTTCTCTCGTCATATTTTTCCAAAAACTGTCTAGATCAGTATATTCTTGTTGAGCTTTTGACAGAACTGTGAAGATCTGATTTCTCTACTTTCTCTGTCATTGTTTTTTTTCACACTGAACACATGATAGACCTACTACTGCTTCTGACTTGGACTCTTTATTAGTGTCTTTTTTAGGATTTCAAGAATTCAAAGTGTCTGCAAGTGAAGAATCTCACATTTATACTCTTCTGTGAACATGTTCAAAAGACAGTCACTGTCTCCACTTACTGGTGTAATTATGTAACTGACAGAAAGAGTCACTGATCCGGATCAGCGGCTCTGACCAACAGTTGGCAATTCACTTTCCAAACACTGAATCAACTGTAAAATCAGAATATTTAATTTCAGAGGACCCAACACCTGTGAAGAGATGACGGCAGCTCTGAATCAACACACACAACTGCCAAAGTTTCTCTATATTTCTGTAGCTAAAGGTTAGCTGTTATGATTTGTATTAGACCTGTATGCACTGCTCAGGCATAACATTATGACCACTGACCGGTGAAGTGAGTAACACTGATTATCTCTTCATCACGGCAGCTGTTAGTGGCTGGGATATATTAGGCAGCAAGTGAACATTTTGTCCTCAAAGTTGATGTGTTAGAAACAGGAAAAAAATCAAGCGTTGCATTAGTTCTGGCAGGTCACGTTAGTCACGCTCGCATCAGCTGACTCACGTCTACCTATAGGGATGTGACACCTATCACAGCACCCTTATATAAGGTCCTTCAGTATTATCACCAGCTTCTGCATTGCTCAATAGCTAATTACCCACCCTATCCCTGACTCCTCCTCTTGTTCAGTCAGGATTCTGCCTTCTGATTCTCCTTGAATCAGTCTAATTTCTAAAATGTTTAATTAAATTATCGTACTTTAATGATATCTGCTATTTATGTTGGTTCTGTTATTTTTACCCTGGAGGGTTATTGCTGCTCTCCCTGCTCTTATTCTTGCTAGATTGCAGTTCTTGCCCAGAACAGAACCATACTGCCAATCCAAACTGTATGCTAATTGTCAGTCATCTTTGACGATAGTGGTCCTGACAGAAATGGGCAAGC